CATGACCTGAGCTGAAGGCAGAGGCTTAACCCACTGAGCCACCCAGGTGCCCCTGCACAGGCTTTTTCAAAATCATCTTCTTAGGCTACCATTGTTTGTTCCCTCCTCTTTCTTGTTTACATTGATTTCTTATTGGAAGAGCTCCAGTTGCTGGGGAGCACCGATAGGTGACAACTCAGTTTTTCTCCCTAGTGGCAGGGATGTCCCCAGCCATACGGTGCAAAGTAGATGATGTCATCTGGAGCCCTTGCCCCTCAAGTTTCCATATGACCCCTGACCTTGGCTGGTCCTTCCTCATAGACCCTGCTCTCACCTCCACCCTCTCTTCCCCTAGTATCCCAGGTGCTCTTGCTTTAAGGGTCTTTCTAAAGATATAATGCTGCATTCAGTTTCTCACAGATTCAAAGAAAATCTCTCAGGATGGAATTTCAGGCAACAGTTGGGACATTTTAGGTGGCAGGGCCTCTGACAAACCAGGACAAAGGCTACTGCCAACTCACCAAGCCTTGGCTCATTGCCTGGTTACTGGGCTGACAGAGCTGGGGTGAGGAGTGAAGAAGTATTCCTGAACTCCTGCTTCTTACTTGGGAACACATACTCTGCACAATCAGAGTTAAAAATGCCTGGAACCAATGGTTAGTGTTCATTTTGCCTGGAAGTGGGAGAAATTCCTTCTGGCCCCAGAACGTCTGTAAAACCCTAGAATAAAGGGAGGAGTGGCCACAAGTGGTACCTTTGTTTAGGAGCCTCCTAAAACTCTGGGATCCTCAGGCCAGAGACTTCTAGCTGCAGGCACACATGTCACAACAAGCCACCCCAATTTCTATCTTCAGATCCGCCAGGACAGAAAGCCCAGTGAGACCGTGTATGGAATTTTAGCCTTTCTTGTTTTTTTGGGGGGGAGTCAGGGGAGCTTCTTAAAAGGGGAGAAACGGTCAAAGACTGGAAGTTCCTTAATATTTACTTTCTGTCTACCTGGTTTTAGAGGCAGTGTAGAGAGTAAGATAGAGTCACTCATGTCAGTCAGGGGACTGAGTCAAGCAATGATGAAAGCAGCTAAGGGCATTGCAGCTATAAATCTAGTCTCCTTAAGTCTTTTCACACATATAGGGTATAAGACACAACTCAATTTTTCCAACACCATTCCTACCTATGACACATCTTTCTGCAAATTACTTAATATGATTGGCACATACAATGCTACCTTAATACCAAAATTCAAAGCCAACCTATAAGACACAACAAAGGAAGAGAGCATACCGATATGTCCATTATCACAATTAGGTTCAACACATTTTTAGTATCCTTTAGTTAATAAAACCTCAATTATACAAGGAAAATCGCCGATGTGGTGGGAAGCGTTGGAAATTGATTGTAATGCAAATTTAGTGACGTGTACTGATCCAGGTATGCAAAAATATTTCTTTTCATTGATCCAACCATCAGATACACAAGGCATGGAAATACATGGCCAGTACAGCACCATATCTATGGAAATATAACCAGAACCGATTCATCTATACCAATTTACATAGCTAAAAGAGTCAGCTTTGACAAATGTGGTGTACCACCCAATAGTTAAAGCCCATGTATTACGGAGAGAGGATGTTGGAATACTACACATTGTCTGAGAAATTTCCACTGGAAGCCACAATGGACACATGGCATTACCAACACAACACCAAAATTCAAGCCAAATGTTTGAACCTAATTACTTAACCCTCTGAGGACTGTATACAAACCTATGCCACAGAGACTGGAAATAACCTTCCAAAAGGAACAACTCAATTTGTTCTATATACAATCCAAATGTAAAATTTATGCCACAGAGGCTAGGAACAACCACTCATGAACAGCCCAACCAACCACCCATCGACAGGATTAGACTTAGAAAGCCTACAGTCCTGGGTAGAGGTAGGCATTACTTCCAACTTAATTATCTCTGGAATTCAGAAAGCAGACATCCAGACTCTTAAGCAGGAACTATCTGCATTTAAAAAACATGTGAACCCCTACTAAATCCAGTAGGATGTTTAGGTTCCAACATCTCATCATTCAGAGAACCACATTCCATTGTCTCAACCGTGTATGATTATCATGCCCACCAACTGGAATTTAACTATAACACTGACCATAAAGTTCAGGCCCTCCCCAGCAAAATTTACTTAACCTTAGACATTTCTACATAAGAGAACAGGTAAAAAATAATTACTTCAGAATCAATAACCACCTGGAGAGAGCACGGAATGATATCAGAAGCATTATTGTAACAAGAAAAAGTATTCTAACTGGATGGAGTCTCTCTTAAAATTAGACATGTCCAGATCAGGTTGTGACAATACAGGACAATGTAAACTTTCATTATTAAGACTTTTAGGGGGTCAAAGCTTATTAACATATGATACAGATGATGTGCCACAACAAATACATTATCGTACAGTGCTTCTGACAACACATACGCACTCATGGATGAATGGATATTTGCTATCTAAGGAGATGGTATTTCAGTGGTCTAATAACATGGATTATACCTGCCATAAACTAGAAACCAATGCTAATCTTTTTCCTTTAACAAGAACATCTATTGAAAATTTACTTTTGGACATGGGACACCTTAACTGGATAACTTGTGCTAATAACTTCTTAGAGGTCATGTATGTTTGTTTGTTTGTTTTTCTGAGATTTCTTTATTTATTTCAGAGAGAGAGAGAGAGCGAGCCTGTGAGCGGGGGGTGGGGGGGCAGAAGGAGAGGAAGAGAGAGAATCCTCAAGCAGACACCCCTCCTGAGTGTGGAGGTTGATGGGGCTCTATCCCAGGACCCTGAGATCATGACCTGAGCTGCCCAACCGACTGAGCCACCCAGGTGTCCCTCAGAGGTCATGTTCTTTAATCATAGTAGAGTGAATGATACTATCATAACCATAGATTATGAGTGTGTTAAAATATTGTATGTTATTAGTGAACATTTAGTAATGTTACCAAATGGGTACCTTTGTCTCAGAATATTCATATAAAATTTTTTCAACATCTTATATTAAAGTAACAGAAGTACTTTGGGTGAAAATTAACAAAATTGATAAACCCTTTGATGAAAACTTAGAAGGGCTCAAAGCAGCCCATAAAACCTTGACCAAGAAGCCAACCCACTTTGAGCATGCTACACAGGCCTCTCAAGCAGCCTCAGGAGTCATTAACACCAACTTAGCTGCACTGAACAAAAATATACAAAACTTATATAATAAATATTCCTCTCTAGAGTTGTTAACAAAAATCCTTTAAACACATAGTTTATTCTGGCTCATGGTCTGACAATAACCCTTTAAAATACAAAAAGGAAAGTAAATAAATAAACAAAATAAAATACGTAAAGGAATTCTCTCTCTACACGTGTCTTGGAGTCCATCAGAGAAATCCTTCTCCCGCTTTTAGCTATTATTTTTGTTACATATCTTATTAAACATGCTATTAAAATGTTGTGCCGCCTCAAGCTTAAGTAGGAAACATTACAAAAAGACTGATTAACCGTACCCTCACCATTCTTTTCTAGATGTGCCAAGACCCTATGTTGAAGATTCTGTACATATTTTTGTACTTTGATCTGCCTATAGTTGGCAATGTGATTCTTATTTCATTTATTTGACTGCTTTGTTGATCTGTTAACTTACCTTAATAAAGTTTAGATTTAGTTTTTCTTCTTTTTTACTTCATTCTGACTAGATGTGACTTTGAGTTGGAGTTTTAAAATTTAATCCTTACTTAATTTTGCTTTATTTGATTCAGTTTAATGTATCTAACTTGTTTGGATTCGATGTGATCTTTGATTTATGTCAATTGACATTTCATATGATTTGAGATTTATTTGATTTTGTTTGATTCTCACTGAAAATACAATTGAATGATTTGGATTTAACTTCTTCCACGTTAGCAAACTAGTACTGCTGACCTAGTGTAAGACATATTTGATTCCTGTATGACCCTTACAGATTTGTCATGAGGAATCGCGCCGGAGAATGTAGACAGCAAGATGGAGTCACTCATGTCAAGCAGTGATGCAAGCAGCTAAGGGCATTGCAGCCAAGACCAGGTATCACTGAGACCAGCACCAGCTTTTGACACACTCCGAAGTGATAACCAACGGAAACAGAGGAGGTCTGTAAAGGCTCAAGACTGATTAAATCCCTTTTAAAAAGAGGATATTTGCAGCAAATTGTGAAGACTCCTCAGACACTGACCTCGCTCTGATTACTTCAAAGCCTGCTGAAGGCTGCCTGGTTGATGTCTGAAAAGAAAAGAGCTCCTTCTTATTATGTTATGCTTGAACATAATAAGCAGCAAGCGCCAAGAGCTGACCCAGACCGGAGTGAGGCCTTATCTCAACTGCTCGCTCACAGATTTTCACCTTTGGTTTGTTAACATCCTGTCCTCCGTTCTGTATTGTTTATGTGACTTGTGCTTTGCTTTGTGTGACCCTTAAGACAAGTTAAACACGTGGTGAAATGTTACCGCGTTTAAAGTATTGAACTTGCTTTATAATTGTTCATCGTGCTCTATGACTGAAAAAGCTGACCTTGTGGAAGGACACAGCCCATATGTGAGTCTTCATAGCGAACTCCTGACAGGCAACTTCGCGTGTTCTCAGGTTTAAAGGTCGGGATAACGTCTGTCTGCAGCAGAGAACCGGACAAGCGATTAAGGAGGGGGCAGCGCTAGGGCCGGGGAAATCAGGTTTCCCAAGCCCAGGAGACAGAGCATGCGCAGTCCACGGGTCTTCCGCTGTGAAGGAGCCAGGAGTAAGGGAAAGGGATCTTTGGGGTCCTTTAAGGAAACAGCCATACACTTTGGAGCAGCCTACATATATCTGGGGTTTAGCCGGGCTCAAACCAGGTCTTCTTGAAGCCCCGCCTCTGGGAAGCTCCGCCCCAACCTAGGTACGCGCACCGGGTCCTAGGAAGGCACAGCTCTTGGAAGTCACTGGTCCCCTGGAGGCGGCTGGGCGCGCTCAGCAGACGGGGCGGAGCACGAGGCAGGAGCAGGTGCTACGGAAGAAGCGGCACTGGCAGGAGGCGCAGGGGTCACAGCAGGCGGGTGCCGGCGACTTGCAGCTCGCTCGAGTAGCCACGCAGGGTGGGTGGCGGGGGCCAGGGCCGAGCCACGGTCTTCTTGGAAGAGTTTCTCTGCGGGAAAAAGCCGGGACTGCCCAAGCCGGCCACGCCCACCCCACCGGCCTCACGTGGGCCTGGGAACTCCTTCGGGCAGCGGAGGCCCCAGACCAGACATCCCCACCTGCTGCCCCACGGTCCCTTGGACTTCATGCCCTCCGGGGACCCCACGGGCACCGGCCTCCCCCAGTCATCCACCCCCTGCCTCCAAACCCATTAACATTTACTTACCTGGCTGGGCTTGGCCCACTTCTTTCCCTAGGGAATCCCACTCTGCTCTAGAGTTTTCACCACCTCTATTTTCCCCCTTCCAGTGTATCCCCAATCTCTTCTCAGTCCTGCCTTCACAGTAAATCGGATCCACCCACTTCTTCACCGCTTTGCTGCCCTAGGCCAGGCCACTATCCTCCCATTTACAGCCCAACCTCTGTTGCCCCAAACCCGGCTCTCCGAAGATGTATGTATGTATGTATGTATGATGGCAACCACTCCGGCTTAAAGCTCCCAGTGGGTTATCTTTGAACTTAGAATAAACCATAAACTTCACTTTGGCTCTTGAGGCCCTCAGGTTTGGTCCCGCCCACCTCTCTGAGCTGAGCCGTCGTCGTTACTACCTCTCTGCCTGCATTCCACGCATCAAACACAGAAAATGAGTAGCCATTAGCCATATGAAGCTTCTGAGTACTTGAAATGCGTCTAGTGCAAATGAAGTGTAAGGACCTATTTAGCCAGAGCGCTTCCATCAGTTAAAGGATAACTTTGTTGTCTAAAACTTAAACTGTCCCTGCTCCCCTTCCCCCAGGGGACTGACTGAAAAACAAGTCCCGGAAACCAGCCCCAGGTAACAAAGCCCAGATACAAGGGTGGGTCAGGCCAGGTGGAGACATCGGATCAGTGGGGGGTTGCATACTGTCTCCCTAGCTACCAAGGAGTATGGTCCCTGCCCTTTGGGAGGCTTTTGGGTGCCAATTCTAACCAAGGTGATAGACTAGGTCAAATGTCTACTATAGGGTAAATTGTAATTCAATTGGTCACTTATGTGTGACCTAACATGACTGTGGAGTTTCCTCTCTGCGTTACAATCTCATTGGCCACCTGTGTGTGGCCAGGCCCAACCACATGGCCTTTGCCCTTAAAAGCTAGTCTGTGAAACAGAGAAAGGTCGCTCTCTCTTGTAAGAGGTACGGCCCCAAACGTTCAGTCTGATTCTTGATGCTTGGCACCGAATAAAGCTTTGCTTGACCTTCGCTTTATATCAGTCTCGCTCCTTTAATCATGGACCCATTATTGAGGGACATATCAGAAGGACTGAATCTTCAAATTTTATTTAATTTTAATTCACTTTTTTTAAAGGTTTTGTCAGAGCGAGAGAGTGAGCACAAGCAGGGGGAAGGGCAGGCAGAGAAAGAAGCAGGCTTCCTTCTGAGTAAAGGAGCCCAATATGGGACTGGAACCTAGGACCCTGGGATCCTGACCTGAGTGGAAGACAGGCCCTTAACGGACTGAGCCACCCAGGTGTCCCTTAATTTACATTTTAAAATAGAAGCAGTGTAACATTTTTTCTTTAAATAATTCTTTTCTTGTTGTTGTTAGGACTACAACTGACTATTAAAATTTAGCATTGGAATTGAGATGTACTGTGAGTGTAAAGGGGCACCACCAGGTTTCAGACTTAGCACACACACACACACACACAGAGTAATGTAAAATATCTCACTTTTCATATTGGTTACGTACCAAAAGGATAATATTTCAGATATATTGGGTTAAATAAAATATTACTGAAATTAATTACACGTTCTTCTTTTTACTTTTTTAAATGTGGCTACTAGGAAATTTTAATTTATATATGTGGCCCACATTGTATTTTTTTCTTTCTTTCTTTTTTTTAAGATTTTGGGGAGCAGCAGAGGGAGAGAAGCAGGCTCTCTGCTGAGCTGGAAGCCCAGTGTGGGTCCTGGGGTCATGACCCGAGCCGAAGGCAGATGGTTAACCAGCTGAGCCACTCAGGTGCCCTTCACATAGTATTTCCATGGGGAGTCGCTGCTTGAGATTACTGAATTTTTCAGTAAGTGCTGCTTCCTCGGGGAGGTCTTCTGAGATGACTCTTCCCTTCATTTTCATCACCATGCTTTAATTCCTTTACAGGGTTTATCATTATCTGAATTTATTTTGCCTATTTATTGGCTTACTTGCTGTTTGTCTGTCTTCCCCTCAAGAATGTAAACTCCATGACAGGGGGCTATATCTCTTGTTCCTTTGGATAGTCCCCATACCTAGCATGCAAATACATTTGTCAACTGTGTTTTCTTACATGTCAATCACCTGATCAGCTTGTTCACAAAAGGTCTAGAAAGGAGCAGGGGCTTTCTCTAGATCACACAGTACCAGGTCTAAGAGAGGAATAATGTGTGCATTTCAATAATGCCTTAATCTAGTATCTCCCACAGTGTGGGAACCTGTGCCGCGGTAGTATGATTTTAGGTGGTATACGACTATTAAGTGACATTAGATCACATAGTGAGAAAGGACCCTCTTTGCAATCTCTTTCAACTTGAAAGGCTCCAGTTGGTGCCAATTTATCATTAATGCTTTCCCAACTCTCTCTTTCTTCCTCCCTTCCTTCCTTCCTTCCTGCCTTCCTTCTTTTATATTTTATTAATTTGTTTAACAGAGAGCGAGAGACAGCCCAAGCAGCGGGAGTGGCAGAGGGAGAGGGAGAAGCAGGCTCCCCACTGAGCAGGGAGCCAGCCCTAGGACCTGGGGCTGGGTCCAGGACCAGGATCAGGACCTGAGCAGAAGACAGATGCTTAAGCTTAACTGACTGAGCCACCCAAGCTCCCTTTCCCAACAGTTTCTAATCTGACTTTTAACACAAGGAAAGATCCCCAGATTTAGAGCATTTGACAAGCAGCTAAAATCCACTAATAATCCATCCAGCTAAAATCCACTAACAATGTTTCATTTTCTTTATAATTATTTTTATGGTTACCTTCTATTTATGGCAAGTGATATTGATTTCCTATCATAGTTATATATTTTTAAGTTTTAATTTAATTTTTAAAATATTTGTTTAATTGAGAGTGAGAGAGAGCACAAGTGGCGGGGGGGAGAGGGAGAAGAAGAAACAGATTCCCCACTGAGCAGGGATCCCACCCTGGGGCTCCATCCCAGGACTTTGGAATCATGACCGGAGGTGAAGGCAGACATGTAACTGACGGAACCACCCACGTGCCCCTTGAGTTTTAATTTTAAACAAATATATTAAGTAAATAAGTGCAACTCAGTTATGGCAAAAATTGTGGGGGGTGCCTGGCTGGTTCAGTCAGTGGAGCATGTGACTCTTGATCTCAGGGTTGTGAGTTCAGGCCCCACGCTGGGTGTAGAGATCACTTACAAATAAAAGCTTTCAGAAAAAAAATTGTGGGAAGTCGTTCTGAAATACCTAAACTTTAGGAAACAGTGCATTCATTCAAAAGAACGAGAGATGGTGACCATTTCAGTCAGAGGGCTAGCTCATATAAGAAGATGCTTTTTAAGGACACCTGGGTGACTCAGTTGGTTAGGCGACTGCCTTCAGCTCAGGTCATGATCCCAGGGTCCTGGGATGGAGCCCCTCATTGGGCTCCTCCTGCTTGTGCTCGCTCTCTTTCTGGCCAATAAATAAATAAAGCTTTTTTAAAAAGAAGATGCTTTTTAGCATGTAAGCTATTTCACTTAGTGAAACTTAGCTCTCTGGGCTTCTGTGGGGGGTCTGATTCAGAGCTTGAGGCCAGGAAGCCTTTAGATAGCTTTCAGCTTCTTTTGTTCATGTAAGGCTGGAAAATCTTTCATTTAGTTCCTAGCTAGAATTCCCTTTTAAGTCCAGTCCCACCCCCAACCCCACAATGAAAACTCCTGGTCCTACCTTGGAAGATTTCTTCTTTTCCGCCTCTTTTCTACTGATCCTTTTGGATTTCTTGTTCAGTGCTTCAAAGAGAGACAGAAGGAACAAAGCCAGATGTTTCTGGAGGTCACGAACTGCAATAAATTGGGAGGAGCCAGAGGAGGCTCCAGGAAGTCTCAGGGTGGGGGAAAAGAGGGGTTGGTTGGCTGAATCATAACTTGGGACTTAGGCCAACAGGTTCTTGATAGCCTGGCTGCTGACCTGGAGTGACCTCTGAGGGAAGGCAAAGAAAAAATCCAAAAAGGCCCTGAAAAATGGGTTCAGTGTCATGTACACGGATGGACCTGTGTTTCTTGTATTCCTCTTTTTCATTTCTCAGAGTTATGGAGCCAGGCACACCTGATTTGAATCCTGACTCTGCCATTTAACAGCTCTGTTTCCTTAAGCAACCTACTTAATCTTCTTAAGATCCAGTTTTCTCATCTGTAAATAGGGTATGGTAATATCCACCTTGCAGGATTGTTTTGAGGATAAAAAAGTTATGTTTATAAAATGAGAAGCCTGGCACGTCAAAGGTGATCAAAGGTGATACTTCCCTGATACATCGAGAATATTCTCTTTTCCTAGTGAGACGTAAGGCAGTGAAGGACATTAGTTTAGAACTTGTGTTCTAGAATTAAACACGTGGGTTTGAATTCTGGCTCTGCCAATTAAGAACTGCGTGATTTTATATCAGTCACTTAACCTTAAGGCTCAATTTCCTCAACTGTGAAGTAGGAATGAAAACAGCACTCACTTTACAGTGCCTAGCACACAAGGAGTATATCTGTTACTATTGTTTTTATCAGGTGAAGTTGAACCAGAAAATGTTCCATGCCAGGCTGTAATGCCCCTGGTATTTTCCCTGAGCAGTTATTTTCAATTCTCAACCCTGAAAGGACTAGTTCATCCCACACTCAGTTATATTCTGCAGCATTTTCTAACATTTTTATTGTTGATTTTTTTTTTTGTTTAAAGATTTTTATTTATTTGACAGACAGATCACAAGTAGGCAGAGAGGCAGGCAGAGAGAGGAGGAGGAGGCAAGCTCCCTGCTGAGCAGAGAGCCCGATGTGAGGCTCCATCCCAGGACCCTGGGATCATGACCTGAGCCAAAGGCAGAGGCCTTAACCACTGAGCCACCCAGGCGCCCCTTTATTGTTGATTTTTAAGATTTAACATTTTACATTTTAACGTTTAATATTTTTACAGTTCTGTGATTCAATAAGTTTCAGAAATTCTAAGTTGAACCAAGTTCACGAAGTGTCTTGACTTCAGGGTTTCTCAGAGCCTTTAACATGCAAAAATTGTTTATGAAACTGGTGGTATACAGGGCTTTTTAAAGCCATAGGAGTCAAGGAATATTTTATTCCTCGAGGATTGCTTTGAAGAATAAGCAAAAAGGAGCTCTGACTTATGTCAGTGAACCCTGGGGAGCATGTTTGACATCCTGTAGCCCCTTCTCATGGGCCAGAGTCCAGAGACTAGGCATCAGGGCAAGCTACTTACCTACAATAGAGACAGAAGGGAAATCCAATATTTTCACGGAGGAATTGTCCCTTAGGCTCCTGTCATCCCTGGGCTTTTCTTCAGGTGCCAGGTGGCTGTTGGGAGTGAGGAAGCACAGGGAGACCAGCAGGGTGGCCAGGAGTAGGTAGAAGATATTCATCCCTGGAGGCCTGAGTGGGACAGAGAAGGCAGTCAGGCTGGTGGGCCAGGAGTCCTGGCAAGAGGATGTGTCATCCTCTTGCTATCGTTGTGTTTCTTTGGGCTGGTGCTCTGACCCATTTCCTAAGTGTCCCGGTAGAGCTGGAGGACCACCAAGGCTTAGGACAGGAAAGGGGGGCTGATGAAGGATGAAGAGAGAAAAGGAGAGATGGGGAGAGGAAGAGAGACAAGGCAAGGAGGGAGATTGAAGCCAAGAGAAAAGGAATACATTGCAGTTTTCTCTGTCATCCAGAGCATGGGGTGATGGTTTTTATTTTTTATTTTTTTTTAAGTCAGTGGCCCCAGGTGACCCTAGACCTGGGCAGAATTTTTGAATGGTCCCCAGTAGTGCCTCATTGTGGCCAAGGTTTTACTAAGGTGCAGAGGATAAAGCTCATAAGACTCTCTGAGAAACATGCAGTGATAAATGGCATCTTCAGACAAGTGTATGTTGTTGCATTTGCCGTATTCCCATGTCCAGAGGGAATGAAATGGTGTGGTTTGTATGAGAAGGATGGACCTGTTGACATAGCCTAACTGTATTTACTGACTTATTACTAGCTGGATTTTGATGAAGCAGACAGATCTCAGAGTGGATTTATTCCCATGAATCCTTTGTTTGGCTTAATCAGGGCTCAAATCTTCAGTAGCGTCTTCATTTTCTCTGAGTGTGGGATCCCCACTCCTCCCCTGCTCTGTGGGCTGCTCTCTCTGGCCTGGGGAAAAACTGAGGCTGCTTTTCCAAAAATCTCTCTGCCCTGCCATAAAGCACGGTGGGTAAGAAGAGAATGAAAACAATCTGCTTATGCTGGTCCTGCCCACTCCTGGGTTCCCCTTACAGAAGCCTGGCAATTCCTAGCCTACTCTTCCCAGCCTAACAAACTACAACTAATAAAATAATAATTTCTTAGAACCTAAGTAATTTAGTGGAACTATAGGACTAAACTGAGTCTGAGAAGGGTGAAATCTCAGTGGAATTAATCTTATTTGTATGTTGGGAGAGGGCAAAGAATGAATATTCCTTGCACCAATCCTGGGGAAGGATATGTATATTCTAAATGTAATATAGGCCTATAATGCCTAGTTGTATTATCATCCTCAGGGTCATATTTTTTTTTTATTTATTTATTTATTTTTTTTTTTAGAATTCAGAATTTGTGGATTTTAGAAAGCTAATATCATCTATATCCTAAATTAAACTACATACAAGGGTTCTGGGAGTCCTTATATAAAATTTTTGCTACTTCCACAGCAAAAAGATGGTGATACTCAGAATAAACAGGATAAAAAAGACTATGAATTGACTTGCATCAATTGAGGATGGGTTTTGTTGCCAAGAGACTTCAGGTAAGGTCAGGTTTTGCTGCCAGAGGAAGAAAGAAAACTGGCAGTTTTCAGACTTTTGGGATTTTGCAATTTCAGGTAAAGGATTATGGACCTCTACAAACCCTCATTGCTGTCACTACTCAACATGGAACACACGCTCCCTGCTATTAATACAGGATAATAATGCTGACAGCAATGACTACCTGTGCGATTGTTTCTCAAGAGTAATTTATCTTGCCCTTCTGTCATGGTGGAGACTCTTCTTTGATCTGTGTATCACTGGAGATAATTCCTTCTCTTAAACTTATCATCTGGTTTAAGTTACTGCTTAGGATTTAAGATGAGTTTCTGTTCAGCATGGTGGATGTAAAGAATCCAGAAAGGGGATTAGGTTAGCTGGATGTACTTGCTATTTAAGCGGCTGTGTGACCCTGGACCCATCCGGGCCTCTGCTTTCTCATCTGTTAAAAGAGAGGCTAGGACTGCATGATTTAGTACACATTATGAGGCACAGAGTTGAAACTTTAAATAAAGATTTGTTTAATGAATGAAAGAATCTTAAGAACTTCCTATTCTAAAATCCTATGAATCAGTGATATCTGATTCTTGCTTCCTGGACTTTGGAACAGGTTAAACAGTTGTACAAAGATTTTGTTAAGGCCACCTTTGAATCCTTAAGAGTTAAGGGGTTTGCAAGTACCTTCATGTGACTGAATCTGATTAAATCCTGGAAAAGAGGGCACAGAAAGTCATGGCGAAATGCAATTGGCTGTATATCTCAGAAGTCTTGCTGGTGTGTGTGTGCATATGTGTATTTACGTGTGTGTGCCAGCACATGGGTGCTAATGAATAAGGGCTCTAATTGAGGAAATATGGGAGACAACAGTATCCAGATCATCCCTGAGTATGATAAAATGAGTAGACAGTATATCAGTACAGAGTACACACTCACTGTGCAGTGCAGACATTCCCTTAGCTATGGCACTGGGGGATAGCCTGATATCTTAATCCTTTAGGGTCAAGCCTTGGTCCCCAAAGCAAAAGAAGGGATTATAATTTCCCAGTGATGAGGAAGGGCTAACCACCTATTGGAACAGAGGTATAGTGAGAGATAAGAACTGAGGAAGAGGAGAAGGCACCAGAGTTTTCCTGAAAAGAGTGAACAATATTAGCTGCTGACCATACTAGGTGTTAATGAGTGCAGTCCTGACATCCTGCCTTGGGTTTTGCTTGTGGCATCAGGGAGGGGAGCCAGAGTGTTTGGGAAGCCAGCAAGCTGGCATTACTGAGAAGGTGACGGGGCTTTGTTGGTTGAATTAATGGCTTCTACCAGTCTTGCCAAGCACCAATTGCCAGGGACATAGGGGTCTGGGTGAAGCTCATCCCTGTGTAGGAAAAAAGTGGTCAGAGGCAAAGTAGTGTTTGGTAGAGGCCTAACATGGAGGAGCATCTCTTACAGGCCAGTGGTGCTGGAGACAGACTCTCCCCTGATCAATCTTTTGGAACAAAATATATACTTGGGAATAAAGAGTAATTAATCCAGGAGGGAATCTTAACCTTTAAATTATCTACAAACCTTTGCCCGTATGTGCATTTTTTTTTTCTGGGGAGAAGGTCCATAGCTTTCTCTGGATCTATAAGGGCCACTAAGATGCTCAGAACCCCTTTTTTGCAACCTGAGTGGGGCTCATCCAGAACCACATGAGAACAGAGGATACTTTTTTTTTTTGTCTGTCCAGGCAATAATTGAGTTCTATACTTGCGAAAGTGTGGTTTTTGGAAGGGACATATCATTCCAGTACTGGTATAAAATAAATATAGTATTGAAGCAAACCAAAGAATATAAACATTATGGTTTCATTTGTGAACAAATATCAAAACTCCTTCAAATGTAGATAAGCTTACATATGCAAAGAAAAAAGAGTGGAAGGATACACATAAAAATTTTAATAACAAATACTTCTTAGGAGTGGAATTGAGGATGGCGAGTCAGGTAGAGACATATGCTTCTTCATGTACTTCTGTATTTGAATTTCCTTTTTAAGAATATTATCACTTTGGGGCACCTGAGTGGCTCATTTGGTTAAGTGTCTGCTTTCAACTCAGGGCATGATCCCATGGTCCTGGGATGGAGCCCCACTCCCTGCTCAGCGGGGGGAGTCTGCTTCTCTTCTCCCTCTGCTCTCTTCTCTCTCTCTCTCTCTCTCTCAAATAAATAAATAAAATCTTTTAAAAAGGGAGAGGAGCAAGATGGCAGAGGAGTAGGAGATCTAAATATCACTGGGTCAGCATCATTCAGCTAGATAGTTATCAAACCATTCTGAACACTTACAAACTCAACAGGAGATTGAAGAGAAGAAGAGCAGCAATTCTAGGAACAGAAAATTGACCACTTTCTGGAAGGTAGGATGTGCAGAGAAGTGAATCTAGGGCGATATACAGGAAGAGAGACCATGGTGGTGGTGGGGGAAGTAGTAGAGCAGGAGCACAAAATTGGAACTTTTAGAAGTCTTCTCTACTGAGGGACATTGCTCCAGAGGCTAAGCAGGGGTGAAGCCCTCATGGGGACAGTGTGGTCTCAGGACCTGAGGTGTCACAAAAAGACCAGGGGTGTCTGAGTGTGGCAAAGCTCCCAGGTATCAGAGCGGAAAAGCCAGCTGCAGAGATGGAGCTGAGGAGTGGGCTCTCAGCTTGGGGTTACCTTAAACCATGATTCAAGCACAGCTGGGCCCCTGCTCAAAGAGGCCCAACTCAAAGAGCAGGGGCCCAACACGTGGCAGATCCAAGGAGACCCCCTCCTTCCTCCTCTGGGAGAAGCAGTGTGGGAGCATGCTGCAACAATCTGCTGGGTTTGGAGACTCCAAATGGGGCCATGCCTCAGAGATAGAAAAGCTCCATTAGAGGCTGGGTGAGCACAGAGTGAGGCTAGAGACCAGGGAGACAGGTGTGAATGATTGCTTTTCTCTGAGGGTAGACTGAGGAATGGGGTCCTGAGTTCTCAGCTTCTACAGGGCTAGATATTGAAAGGTCACCATATTTATTCCCATCCTCCAAAGCTGTTCAGAAATTGTTCAGGGAACAAAAGCTACAGAGAGCAAAACTGAGCAGGTTACTTAGCCTGGCCCCTGGCAAGGGCAGTGCAATTCCAACTCAGGCAAAGACATTTGAGAATCAATGCAACAGGCCCTTCCCCCAGAAGATCAACAAGAACAGCCAGCAAAGACCAAGTTCACCAATCAATGAAAATTGCAAAACTTCAGAGCTCTGGGAATACAGCACATAGACTTTGTAGCTTTTTCCCCATGATTCTTTAGTCTTTCAAAGTTAAATTTTTTAAATTTTATTTTTTTCTTATTCTATTTTTAAACTATTTTCCTCTTTCTTATTTTAATGTTTTTTAAACTATTTTATCTTATCAGTACATAAAAAAACTTTAAAAATTTTCATTGTTATAGTCATAGTCTATCCCTTCATTGTATTTAACCTTATTTTTTGTATACATATAGATTTTTCTTTCTTTAAAATTTTGGGATACAGTTTCTTCTAATAGATCAAAATATACCCTAAATGTAGAACATGGCTTTGTTCTAGTCTCCAGCCTGATCACATTCTTTCCTCTTTTTTCAACCAACTTCTCATCTTATCA